TAGTTCACCGCTGATCTCGTGACCATAAAGTCGTCAGTATTATCTCTTTTTTTTATGGATAAATGTTAAGATTAATTAAGTTTGTGTATGCATATGTATTAGTAATTAGGTACATAGATTTAGTTTTAGGTAAGGCTTTAAATAAATAAATAAATAAAAAATATTTATCTAAAGCAGCTATCTTTTTATATAAAATAGTAAATGAGAGCAGTATTTAAGTTAATGTAAGTTTTGATAAATCTGTTTAGGGAACAATGGCTGGTGGTGGTGGTCATAGTCTATAGGACATGTGACCCAAAGACTTTCAATGAATAAAGATAATAAAAAAATAACGTTGGATAACCCTCGGTATCGTGAGGGTTAAGCTGGGGAGTGGGTGTTGATTTGAATAAAAGTAGGTACGTGGTAGTGGTTATCGAACACTTGTATTCCGAATTATTGTACAATAAAATTTACGATACAATAGCACGTGACAAATTGATACTAATCAATACATAGTATAAAACAAAGTCGCTTTCGCTGTATGTCCGTATGTATGCTTAGATCTTTAAAACTACGCAACGGATTTTGATGCGGTTTTTTTTAATAGATAGAGTGATTCTTAAGGAAGGTTTGTATGTAAAATACATGCATCTTGCACCCGTGCGAAGCCGGGGCGGGTCGCTAATATCAAATAAATTCTTTAGACCCTTATACTATTGCCGGAGAATCTTAACACCGCGATTCAGAAAACGATCTCAAATAAAAAGCACCATCTATGAACGAATGTTGGAACACTTGTTCTCTGAATCGCGGGTTTCTTACATGTCAATCGCTTGGCGGTTAGACAAACGTACTTGTAACTCTTTTGGTATTGAGGGTCTCTGGTTAGCGGCGACGGTTGCTTACCATCCGGTGATCCGTCTGCTCGTTTACCGGCTTATGCCATAAAAAAATACAACGCAATTACCTATCGCCAATATGCTTAAAGATGAATTAAAGATTTAAAAAGCTTAGTAAAATTAATACTCAAAAGTGACATGGGATAAATAGGTAATGCGAATATTTTAAGACCAGAGGTAAGTAAGTATAGGTAATATGCAATTGTTGGTGATAACGAGATTAGGACTCATTGTTACATCATTTGATAAGGTGTCGTTTCAAATTAATGCGTTAATATTTTGTTAATGCTCCAAAAGCTGGGAAAACAATAACAGCAAACCCGAGCATCTGGTGCGGCATAGGTGTCAAACAGTGGCGAATGTTTTCTTTGCAGTAGAGATGAATAAAAAATCACAGTCATATTATTTATCAGCCACAAGACGTCCACTGTTAAACGTACGACGATAGGTCAATGGCTACCGTTAATTTGTTCACCAAACGGCGCTATTGTGAACTTTTAGTTTTCCGTCCATTAGTTTGGTTTACTAATGTCACACGATTGGACGTTCATTATTTGACAGCCGCTATGATTGGATAAAAAATCTCTCGGTGCTTTTACTAAAAAATACTTTATATTTGGTTACCAGATGGTACAAAGCCGCCATTAGAAGCGACCTAAATGATAAAATTGGGACAAGCCCGCCACAATCTCCCAAAACCGCTGCAACTCCTTTAAGCCAGGATCTACAGTAGATACAACCATGAAAACACCGGAACACTGAAGTCCGGCGCGTCCCAGGGACATGAGTAACTGTCTTGGTTCCCGCAACTAAGTGAATCAGAAGATATTATAAGAGGAGAAGAAGAAAAAACTATGGTTTTCACTTCCCTCGGTGAGTTACTGCAGGAGACAGAATGAATTAATCCTAAAGGCACAAAGAAGAGACTGTACAACTGGGTGAAGCCCAGTCGCCAAGCACTAAATGATAGTAGACACTGTTGCTTTTTTAACCTAGCGTCATATAACAAATAATGAATCATGGTCAGATCTATGATTCGAGATACAGTTAAACCCCGACTTACGTTGGAAAACCCAGAAAAGATTAACCTGGATAAACTGTTGATACAAAGCAAAGGTTTTGATAACAAATCATGATATACAAAAAACTAGGTGCGTACATTGAACCAGCATTCGAAACTATAGGTACCTATTTAGGATATTCTTATCGCATGTCTAATAAAAAGATTAATAAATAGACGTATTACAATATAACAAACAAATACTACCTACGGTATGATGTTATTTCCTGCTATTTGATAGGGTATTGATAAACTATCCCTTTTCGTCTGCTGATGGGGCCCAATAGGGCTGATGTCGATACGGAGCCGAGGAGAACCAAACGGGTTACCGGGGCTCCGGCTCGAAGTGTAGGAGTAGGAACGGGGTGGTTTTTAGTCAGTAAGAGTCTGGCACTCGCTCCCGCCTCACCCAGGCGGGAGAAGTCATTCGATGATTTTCCCCACTTAAAAATAAATCCCTTTTCGTCTCCTTCTAAATCAACGATAATTTTAAAATTTCATACTAAGAATAGTTTAAAAGTATCTACATATATCGGCAGGGTATGGGCTACTTTTGTGATAGGATACTTTTTATCGTTAAATGCTCCCATGGGATAAAACAGGAGTCATCATTCTACGCGGACGAAGTCAGGAGCAATAGCTAGTAACTAATACATTTTTCACAAATCAAAAGTGTCATTACCAAATGGTGATTTTGTCAACAGCTTAAGAATATAAGAATGTCTTAGATTAGAAATTTGCATGCCATATTAAAATTTTTAAATATTAAAAGCCATAAACGCCACGCATCTTATCTGACGGATTGCAAACATTACCACTTATTACCACTTGATGACAGACGGCAGATGTTGGACATGCTCCTTCTGTATGATATCCTGCGGGGTGGGATAGACAGCAGTGATCTCTTGTCATGCGTTGAATTCTGCACGCACAGGTCTCGAACAAGACATACTCACTTGCTTAGTATACCCTCACATCGTACGAATTATGGGAAAAATGCTGTTATGACTCGACTACCTCGCATTTACACAGAGAAGTTTGACAGTGTGGATATATTTAATTTGTCAAAGGTATCCTTCCGTAAGTCGCTTATACAAATACTCACTAGTGCGTGACTCTTATAACATTATTATTTTTCTTAATTATTGCTTTATAAAAAAAATTCCTTGATTGTTTAATTTTATTTTATATTGCTCACTCTCCTACTTTTACCTAACGCATGCTGAAAAACTCTGTTATTGGCTTAAGTTTCCATGCCTTGTCATTATTGTAGATGTAGCATTTACTTAATAAGCTGTTGAGTTTTCTGTAATAAAAATAAATAAATAAATATGGTAGAATGTACCAGGAACGATATACCATTGTAAGACCTTATATTATGTACCTACATTCAATGCAAATAAATTATTCTATTCTATTCTTAGATACCTTCACAAAATGTCTAGAAACATATTAAGAATCTACGAATTATTTATCTTTTATTTATAATCTTCGTTAAATATAATCCGTTCTAATTAATAGTCATAAAATAATTAACAAACAACACTACTTGCCACGTAATCACTAAATCTAGGTTGTAAATAATTCTGACACTGAGATTAACGAACGTAAACAGGTATTGGACATACGTATCGTACATTGGTTCCGTACAATAAAGGAATATTAAAATAAGATTCATAGTATTGTTGTGTTAGTTTATTGATTAGTTACTGGCTTCTGCCCACCGCTTCACATAATATGTGTGGGATATGAAAGATCACTGTGTTATTCCAAACTATAACCTATCCCTGTTTCAAATTTCATTCCGATTCCTTCAGTCGTTTTGACGTGTTTGGGTAACAAACATACACACAAACACAATAACATACAAACTTTCGAATTTATACTTAATAGCATAACATCACGCCTTTTACCCCCAAAGGTTTAAGCAGAGGTTCACATTACGGCACTTATTGCCACTGTACAATGTAACACCCACTTTCACCATTTATGTTATATGAGTACCATGTAATAGGGGGTGAGCCTATTGCCATATACCGGGCACAATTCCAGACTCCGTGCTACTACTGAGAATTTTTAAAAAACCCAGTAATACTTTGCCTGACCCGGGAATCGAACCCGAGACCCCTTGCCCGGAAGTCGCACTTGCGACCACTCGACAACGAGGTAGTCTTTATACTTAATATTTGTAAGGTTATGTCAATAATTGTAAGAAAAAACTGATTTCCCGTGGAGAAGATCATGACTTCACGCGTCTCAGTAATAAGAAATACCTACTTACGAAGCCAGGAGGAGGAGGAGAGTCCTATAACAATGAGGAGTGGGGTAAACCTATTTTTATAAACCTCTAGAAAATTTCTAGATTTCCTGTCTACTTTACTGCCTTATTAATGTAACAAGACTACTCATCATCAACAGCCTATAAGTGACCACAGCTGACCAAAGGCCTCTTCCCGCACGAAGAATGTTTGAGCATTAATCACCACGCTTGCTTAATGCGTTTTGACAAGACTACTATTCAGTGTCAAGTTTCTAGAAGAAATCAATACAATAATCTGTTGTAACCTTTTTTATTTACATATTCTCACTGAAAGTTTTCTCTGATGAAAAGTAAAATATTCAGTCGATAATTGACTTGGTCTGATTAATGAAGATATTGTTAAAGTTAAGGCAATCTCACTCATTCAAAGTTTAGTTCAGAGCTAAATAACTAACTTGGAACTACTCACACCAATTTGCCAAATTCCAACTTGTTTCTAATTATAATCTTCATTGTGTGGGTTCGAAACGAAATACAAATGGAGAAAATTCATATAATAACTTAGGTAAGACATACTAAATTAATGACTATGTTTTAGCCAGCCGCCGCATCGGAATACTGCTCATGAATATGAGCCTCTAACATGGCTTGAAACTAGTCGAGTTCCTCAGGTTCAAATAATTACGTGAGTAAAAAAAGATAATAATCAATGGAGAAAATTCATTCGCAGGTCAAAATGATTTACAATAACTATGACGGATCCCTAAACATTGCTTAATTATAAAAACGGCTTCACGTGAATTAATTCATTAGGTACGATTGGTTGACATAATGGCGAAGCTGGCGTGTGTCTTATTCTTGGTAGCAGGTTAGTGCCCATTTACAAATAATAATATTATTTTTGAAAAATGATGCTATTAAAGTTACCGAAATCACTGGAGTAAGTGTGTTTAATTTTGAAATGAGTGAAGGACTAAAATTTGAATAGAGGCCTCATAAATATTAAGAAAACATTCAAGAAACAAAGCAAATGAGATCATTAACATATTGGGTGCCGTGTCAGACAATGATGACCGACGCTAACGGAGGACTAGCCTTTAATAGCCTAGTTTTTGTTGGCAGTTAAAGGCTCCAATTTCTTGATTAGTAAGCCTAGTTAATTTAAAATATAAACCAACTAAATCATTAACAAGAAACCCAGTGTCCCAAAAATCGATTTCTAAATTCCAGCATTAGCCTGCACCAACGCTGTCCCAAACCGCATCGTTGGCGGCAACCCAACCACGATCGAGAACTACCCCAGCATCGTCCAGGTTGAGAGCCGCACCGGCATCATCTGGGGCCAGTCATGTGCCGCTAGTATCCTAAACACCAGATTCGTCGTGTCTGCTGCACATTGCTTCTCTGGAATGTAAGTATTTGACAGGATTTTCTATAACATAACATCACGCCTTTTATCCCCGAAGTTGTAGGCAGAGGTGCACACAGAAGTAACACCCACTTTTCACTATTTATGTTAGAAGTCCCATGTAATAGGGGGTGATCCTATTGCCATATACCGGGCACATTTTCGGACTCCGTGCTGAGATTTTTTAAAAACCCAGTAATACTTTGCCCGACCCGGGAATCGAACCCGAGACCCCTTGTCCGGCAGTCGCTCCTGCGACCAGTCAGCCAACGAGGCAGTCATAAATATTTTCTATAAGTTATGTTAAATTGGTTAGACTTTGATTGGAATCTGTTAAAGAGGAATCTAGATTCAAGGATAGACGACAAATTGGAGTGATTTTTAGCGCAATAAATGCTGCATAGTTTTTCACATAAGTTCATAGCTTGGCTGGAAACTAGTCGAGTTACCCGTGTCGTGACGCGAGTAACACTTGAAAACATAAATCCTACGTAGAAGTACAAAAGCTAAAATGAGAGATTACTTATTTCATATATGTCCAACTTCTTCTCTCTGTCGTTTCGCTCTTGGCAGAGCGGTCGTGGTCACGTTGAGGCGGCCGTATTTGTGTTGGTGGCCGATACAGCTTTCCTCACGATCTCCCGCCATCTCTCTCTGTTTGTGGATTGACTGACACTGGGTTTCCCGTTGTCCAACTGGCACATTTAAATTATAATTATGTCATTAATTTTCAGATTTAACACCCGCAACCGTCGTATCAGAGCTGGTACCTCAAACCGTGCGTCAGGTGGCGTCGTGGTCTCCATCAACCGCATTGTCAACCACCCCAGTTATGGCAGAAACCAGATGGATGGTGACATCAGTGTCATCCACTTGTCTTCAGCTCTGGTCTACAGCGACCGCATCCAACAAGTCCCTCTTGTGCCCCAAGGGTTTGAACTCCCTGATAACCTGCCTGTTGTGCATTCTGGATGGGGTGCGACTACGGTAAGTAGTTTTTTGAAGATTATTTTATATATTAAAGGAGGTTCTCAGGTTGACATGTGTGTATGTATGTTTGTATGCATCACGATTACCCGAACCGATTTTGATGCGGTTTTCAGAAAAGGGGTTGTCACACTTACGAGAAAGTATATTAATTAATCGACTTCAAAAAAAGAGGGGATTGTAGTCGATTTTCTGAAAAGTAGTTTATAATTTAGAAAAGAATTATTATAATAAACTTGGCTTTTATTCCCCGACCGACAGTAAATTTTTAATATATTCAGAGTAATCATCGTTTCGCCAACTATGGACAGTTTCATATAAGAGGGGCGCTATCAGGCTATATCGTTCATATAGTTTTAGTTTGTAAAGCTTAAAACTAAAGTCTTCAATGAAGCATACTTACTTCACTACATTTTAGAAGCTAAACCCTATGAAAATCATTGTCACGTAAATTCTTATAGGGGATCGTAACTTTATCTGCTACTAACCAAGAGGTAACATTCCTTCAATATCTCATCTATTTATTTTAACCTCAACAGCAAGGCGGGCTAGCTTCAGCAATCCTCCGCGACGTTCAGATCTACACTATCAACCACGACATCTGCGCTGCTCGCTATGCCAGTCTTTTCCCATCTAGAAGAGTTACTGAGAACATGATCTGCGCTGGTCTTCTCGATGTCGGTGGCAAGGACGCCTGCCAGGGTGACTCTGGCGGTCCCCTCTACTACGATGGCATCCTGGTCGGTATCGTCTCCTGGGGCCGTGGATGTGCTGATGCTGTCTACCCTGGTGTCAGCACCAAGGTCGCCTCCTACACCGACTGGATTGTACAAACTGTTACCTCTGTTTAAATTATTTTATTAAGCTCTGATATTGATATTAACTATAAGTGTTATATTTGGATTTTGGTGTTTTATTTGTTTATTACTGTTTTTTTTTTAAACTCAGTATTGTTCGGAGTCTGGAAATGTGCCCGGTATGTGGCAATAGGCTCACCCCTATTACTTTACTCATGACATAAATAGTGAAAAGTGGGTGTCACTTCTGTGTGCATCTCTGCTTACCCCTTCGGGGATAAAAGGCGTGATGTTATGTTGTTTTATTTGTCTGTTCACATTTTATACGTAGGTAACTGATCTATAGTATCTAGAATTAATATTTTATACAATCATGGTAACCTAATCCTGTTTTAAAAAGTCCTCAACACGACTTTAACTTTTGGTTCTATCTTCCGTGAGACTAAGTTCATAATGAAAGCGATTCTTTTGTTTCAATTCGAAGTTTACTCTGAGTTCAAAACGATCGCACGCAAGTGAGTAAGCTGATATTATGAAGTATAATCTTTCAAAGGAAACGCAGTGAACTGAAATAACTGCTGACTCGAACAATAGTTAAGTATAGAGGTACACACAAGGTCGGGTAGGGAACGTCATGTTTGGTATAATTTTTTATGTTTCGCTATTTATACATATAAATAATAATAGTGACATCACTAGCTACGTCCGCGCGGTTTCACACGCTCTGCTCAGCTGCTATTGGTCGTAGCGTGATGTTTTATAGCCTCCAAAATTCGCTATCCAACACAAAAAGAATTATTCAATTCAGACTTGTAGTTACGGAGATTAGCGCGTTTAAACAAACAAACAAAAAAACAAACTCTTCCGCTTTATATAATATGTAGTATAAGATTTGACAATTAAGAGTCTCCAAGATCTACATATACGGCAGGTGGGTTTAATATCGCAGTTTTAAATAGTTCTGGTATATTGGGCAGGTAGCCGTGTCTCAGTCAAATAAGTTCTTTAGTGGCCACTACGACACCCACGTGACGTATACGGGTGGCGAAAAATATATTTTTCTCTGCTGTCTTGACATGACCAACAATACAATAAGAAAAAATATTTGCGTCCAAAAATTGTAATACATTGTGAAAATATTATAATTAAGCGAAATCACGTAAATTGTAAACCCCAATAAGTTGCAATGTCTAAATATTTCAACTCAAACAGCTCGAAATACGGGCAGGTCAAATCTAGACTGAAATTCCAGGTAATCCTGCCGACACACGATCAATATTCCCGAGTCTTCCCGGCCGCGGCAGTGCGCATGCGTGGCGGCCATCTTTCTCCCGCCGTGACCCTTCGGGATACATTGCAACAGTAAACACAACACATTAGCTTCAGTGAGTGCAAAATAACTTTAAAAATGGTAAAAGGCAACTCTGATCGTGATCCTGAAGGTAAGAATATAATCTAAATGTCTTATATCTAGTCTACATTAACACTAATCCAATTTAAGTGAAGAAAAACCGAGTTTTTGTTTACATCTAATACTAAAACCGGGAGAAGAATGTCTTGTTTTGTGTTTTATTATATTTTCTTTGCTAAAATGAATCTTGCCTTTATTAATATACGTATTAAAACTACTTTTTTATAGTCTATTCTAAGTTGATTAGGAGATTTCTTTGTTTTAATATCTTTATTCTGTGCTCTTTTTAATAAGTGAGGCAATTCAGTAGGGTTGTTAACTTGTAGCTTATGAGTATCATGAATAGAAACATAAAGCAGGCTCTTTATGAGCTATTGTTTAAAATTTGAGTGAACTTGTCATTGAAGTTTAATCTTTATTATTAAAAGTATTCATTTTAAAATCATTTTGCCGCTTGCGTTGATAATAATTCGTTGAGTTAAAATGGAACTATACTTATACTTATTTTTTATTCAAGTTTCGTATATAAATAGACATATTATGTTTTCTTTGTGTATTAGCCTACGTTATATTATAAAACTAGTTCGTATGCAATCTTATGCATAATAATTATGAATTGTAAAACATCAACGTATTGGGATTTATTATTAACTAAATTAATTTTGACATCAGTTGGGGTATCAAATTAGGCTAGCACCTCTGCTAGTCCCTTTAGGAATCAAAACTGTAATATTTTAACAATCCAGTAAAAGAACAAAATACAAGTTAATTTATATAAATCAAGTTTCAAGTTAAAGTTCAAGTTAGGGTTGGTTTCGGTCTGCCGTCACTAATTTACTTTGACGTGCCTAACTTTAGGCTTTCATTAGTTAAATTGTAGGCTACTGTTAAACCTGGATCCTAACTTAGAATAAAGGGTAAAGACAGTACATTGCTTGACTTTCATTGGCCGGAGGGTCGGCGAAGGGGCACATAATCTATATATAACAATGATGATGATATTATTGCCAGAAGAATGTTCTTATGATAAAAAAATCCTGAAAGTTCTACGGGGACGAGAGAAAACGGAATTGCGCGTACGAAGTCGCGGGCAGAAGCTAATCTAAAATATAAAAATGAATCATTTTTACCCTTGGTCACGCCATCACGCGTGAATGACTGGATGGATTTCATTAATTCTTTTTTTGTATTCATTATTATTAGGAGAAGGTTCTTAAGACAGAAAATATCCTGAAATTCCTACAGGGATTGCACGTACGAAGTCGCGGGCAGAAACTAGTGTATTATAATAGACAGTACACTGGCATTTTATCGTCATGTGTTTTGACATCAACTTATACAGGGTGGCCGGGGAGTTGACGTACAAGCGTAAAATTGAGATACTTAATGATGAGGAGTGTGCAAATCACCCCCATGCATGTACCCCAAAGTCAAAAAGTCAAAGTCAAAGCATTTATTTCAATTAAACCATAGTTTGGTACTTTTGAAACGTCAACAAATACAAAATAAATAATAGTCTGTCAGTCAGTCCGTCAGTGAAGCTAGGTGAAGCTAGGTGCTCATTCCAAAACGTAGATTCGAATGGAGAAGAACGAGCAAGAAACTCCACTCGTTACTCTTTTAAAAAAGTATGTTCTACAATGTCTCTGATACATATTTCAATACTGTACGCATATGTAAGAACAATGCAAAGACACGCTTGACGCATTATACTAATAACTTACTAAAATAAAAATAATAAAGATCTTAAGTCTAACATGGTGCTCACATATGCATACTGACAATCCATAGAAATAGTGCTTCTACCTCTATACAAGAAAAAGGAAACTCTTTGTTTCAATAAAGAAAGAAATGCTCGATGCCATAAGGAAACTAGATTGTCTACATTAGAATTAAAGTATTAAATTATGTATTATATTACCTACTATTGGAATTTAACTACTGACTACATTTGAGTATTGTCCAGTGGAGCCGAACCAACATGCTGCCAAGCATTCTTATCTTCAAGATAATCTGTCAGTGTGTAGTAAGCTTGATTACATAATTCGCGCTTAATATATGTTTTAAATTTACTTTCATTGAGATCTAGTATGCTATTTGGTATTTTATTATAGCATTTAATACCTAACCCCATAAAGGATTTCTGTACTTTGGACAGTCTGAATTGCGGTATAGCTAACTTATTTTTGCCTCTAGTATTAAAATTGTGTCTATCGCTTCTTTTTTCAAACAATTGCCTATTTTTCCTTACATACATTATATTTTCATATATATATTGACAGGGCACCGTTAAAAAACTCTTACTGACTAAAAACCACCCCGTTCCTTCTCCTGCACGTCGAGCCGGAGCCCCGGTTACCCGTTAGGTTCTCCGCGACTCAATATTAGTAGGATAGGATTACATTGCAATGCCAATTTGAATGAATAGACCAAGGCGCATATTATAAGTGGTACTTTACCCTCGACGCCTCTTGTAGTTACATTTTTTAGCGAGTTATAACCAAGAATGGCGTTGCACTAAATTACCATGTACAGTAAATGTCCACTTCGATATAGTTATGTGTTTTTATAACTGCACATTACAAGCCTGCCTGACTACCTCATTGGCCGAGTGGTCGCAAGTGCAACTGCTTGGCAAGGGGTCTCGGGTTCGATTCCCGGGTCGGGCAAAGTATTACTGGGCTTGTAAAAACCTCAATAGTAGCACGGAGTCTGGAAAATGTGCCCGGTATATGGCAATAGGCTCACCACCCCCTATTACATGGGGCTCATAACATAAATAGTAAAAAGTGGGTGTTACATTGTACAGTAGCATTAAGTGCCGTGATGTGCACCTCTGCCTACCCCGTCGAGGATAAAATCCGTGATGTTATGTATTTATGTACACTACAAGCCATGGTCATCATTCAATGTACTTTGAACATGTATCTCAACAGCAGATCGCTGAACCAAATAAAAAAACACTATGAAACTAACCCAACATTCTTCCAGTTTCAGAAGACATGGTGGAATCCATAGACGAGTTAAAGGAAAGACTGTCAGTCATGAAGAAGATGATGGAGGAGCGGAAGGCAGCTGGTACTGGCACCAAGGAGCTGTTCCAAGGTCAGGCGACCAGCCTCCAAGGAACCACTATGATAGATGGAAACTTCCTTAGCTTTGTCTTCGGAGGATCCTTATTTGTGATCATCAGTGTATCAGTATACGCTTTCTACAACCTATATCACGCTGTACTCAAGAAATTCCCCTCAACCCACACTGAGTTGTAAACTGAACTTTAATGAAACGCTACAAGGTTCATTTGTGATTGGTATGAAAAATTGTGTGTGTAAAATGATGGACAATATTGTTTTCTTAGTTCGGAATGATTAAATTGTGATTTAACTTTTTTGTTGTGTTTGTATTTTTGAGCTGGCAATACATACATACTAAATGAACTAAAAATCGTGGGTTACTCACGTGAATATAGTATAGGCTGCGCGACATCGCTGCGACTCATGAGGAACAAAAAAACCCCTGTGTAGTTCGAAACTAGTAGAGCTGTTCTCAGTAAATTCACGTGAATAACTCGCGATGTTTAGTTAATTTACCTCTAGTATGTCTTATACTCCTTATTGCAGGTTTTTTTATGGAGTAAACCGACGAGCTGACGGATCACCTGATGGTAAGCAATCGGCGTCGCCCATGGACACCTGAAACACCAAAAGCGTTACAAGTGCGTTATCGGCCTTTTGGGAATTGGGAATTCGAGGATTGTTGGGGATTCAGGGATTGGGGAAAGGGGGGGAGGGTAATTGGGCATCCGGTAACCTCACTCACACGACGAAACACAGCGCAAGCGTTGTTTCAATAAAATGAAGACTTAAAAATTAATTCTGCTAAGAAGGATAGGAAGGTATACTTCTTATTGGGGGTACACCATTTAATGCATTTTTTTAAACGTTGGAGCACAAGGATTTTCTCCTGTATCCTGACAAGTAAGTATTATATAAGTATTTAATTCAAGTATGTTTAATTCAATTCAAGTACTATGAAAAGTATTACAGTAAGTAACTTCTTATTAGACACCATCCGAGATTTTAAGATGCAATACAATATTTTACAGAGAAGTTTGAAAATCGGAAAAGGTAATAATTGGGGCGCCCCTAAAATTATGGAGTGGGAAATCTCTGCATTAATCACAAGAGTGCATGATTTACATTGTAATTTGATAGGAACCTGAAAGATTAGTTTAACTAGATATGCAGATCTTCTTTACAAAGAAATTGTAAAGAGGATGGTTGACACTTCAGGTGATCGAAGGGCTGGCTACTACCTTGGGCAAAGGTTAAGCATTGCCATCCAACGTGGCAATGCTGCCAGGCTTTTGGGCACCTTACCTCATGACAATGACGAAGATAATAATAATTATTTTCATGCATTAAGTTAGTTTTTTTTTACATTTTTTTAGTTCTAAATACTTTAGTTTTTATTTAGCTCTAGTCGTTTATTATTTAGTTTATATTTATAATTATATGTATAGATTAATTTAGTAATAACTGAAGTTCTTGATTTTGTAAATAAAAACTAGATATTGCACAGTTCACAGTTTACGTTTTTGTCGATTTATTTGCTGTCATAGAAATATCTACAATTTCGACATTCTGTTGTTTTTGTGTCCATCCAGCCCCAGAAATACAACCTAAAAGCTTTGGTTTTACGACTATTTTACAATGTGCTCAAGTATCTAGTTAATAGATGGCAAATTTGGACACTCAATTACTAAATTAGGTACAAAATAACAGTAGTTCTGTTCATTTGTAAACCAGTTTCAGTAGTTTATAATAACAGTTCAACATACATAGTTCAGTAACTATACAAAACATAACAACTACCAAATAACATACAAACTAAAGTCAACTTTAATATTGTAGGATATGGTTGAGATTTGAAGTTGGGAAACTATGAACGCATTATGCAGTTTGCAAATTCGTCTAATTTGCAGATTCAAGCTGAATGTTGGTCGTGTTTTGTTTCATTTTGAATTTCATCTCTGTTTGTTAGTTTGTAGAAAATGTTGCATTTTCTATAACCTATCTATCTGTAGATTTGCTTACTAAGATAGAATTTTGACATAATTAAGCTCCATACAAAATGTGTAGATACAGATGTGATAGGTTACAGAAATTGGCCGTAAGTAGAGGTGGTGTTGCCATTGTTTATCAACGAACTGTGTTTAAATTAAACTTTAGTGTTGCTTGACTTCGGAGACGGTGCAGTGGCTGGGCAACTGGTTGCCGCGAAACGTGTAGCGCGTTCGATTCACACACGGAACAATTCTTTGTGTAATCCACATATTGTTGTTTCAGTGTTATGTGTATGTGAACTTATGTGTTTCAAAATGCACCCGCGGCACTGGAGAAAATAATGTGGGGCAATGTTTTTTAACGAAGAAAGAGAATTGGTCAGGAAGGAATTTATTGGCTTTTACTCCTGAATTCCTTTAGGGATTACTTATTAAACTATACGTTAGTATCGATTTTGTTTCGACAACATTTTTTAATGATCAGGTTAATGCACAGTGGGCTTACTCTCGAATCCAATTACGATCGATCGACATTGGTATTGTGAAATTTCCTAATCTTGAGTTTCAACACTAGCGCCCATTGCATCCGTATTGCGTGAAAATTTTATGAACTAAATAGTATTGAGTTTGTTTTCATATTATTATTTATTTATTTTATTTATTTCTTCTTCACAAAATACATCAGTGAATGGCGGACTTAATGCCTTAAGGCATTCTCTTACAGCCAACCATAGGGAAGTGCAGAGAAATGAAGTGGTTGATGCGAAGCCAGAACACAATTGAAAAAATAAAAAAAGAGTTATGTAATATGTATACTACACACATAAATAACCTATAGAATAAATATATTAATACAATATTTTATAAATCAGTATAGACATATACATACCATATAATACATACTACTAAACAAATACTTATACCTACTGCATAAATACTACAATATATTATATATATATATAAAAAAAAAAAAACGTTGTCAGAATAGTTTCCTCAATTGTTTTGAGTCTGCCAATGCTTAAGTAAATGCTCACGGACTTTAAATTTAAAGGAATTGCGACTTGTTGCCATTCTGATCTCCTTGGGCAACGCATTCCACAAAATAACAGCTTGAATGAAAAAGGAAGAATGAAAGAAGTCAGTGCGATGAGAGATACATTGAAGATGTCGATTTTGAGACGAACGAAGAAATTTTGTGTGGTTTGCGCACGTATATTGGAAGTATGAAGCAAGGTAAGTAGGTGAAGAAGGAGAGTCAAGATAAGAGAATAAAGTGGTTAGTGCCCTCTGCTGCCTGCGCAAGCGTATGGGCAGCCACTTCAGTTGCATCCTATGTGCAGAAATATGATCATATTTACGTAAGTTGAAAACGAATCGAATGCAGTTATTTAGAAGTCGGTCTAACTTGTTGAGTAGATCTGCATTCAGGTCGTAGTAACAGACATCAGCGTAATCAATAATCGGGAAAATCAAGGTCTGCACAAGCTGCGTCTTCACAGAGGACGGAAGAAAGTTCCTCAGACGATACAGAGCCCGCAACGATCCAGTCACCCTTTGGCAAACACTTGCGACCTGAGCACGCCAGCTCAATGTTTGCTCAATTTCATATTCGGTACTCGGAATCTTATTTTAACAGCTACATTAGGGGTTGTATAGTTTTGACATTGAATAATTATTGAGTTTTCATTAGATTGCAATTGCATTGACATTGAGATTGGTTTCAAGAGTACGCACCTTGGTCTGTGGACGACGAGCAAGAGATTTACACATAGCTGAAGTGGTCAAAGACAGCTCTGAAAAAACCCCTATAATCATCTATCGTCCATTCATTCTCTCTCATTCAGGCAAACTCATGATATTAACCTACAATAATTATTATTTTTTTTATTTTTCTGCTCTTATCTCAAGGTATACTTGACATTCATCTTCTTCTACGCGTACTTCACCAATGGTTCTAGATGACCTTCCATGCATTCAAAACTACACTAGAGAATCCATTAACAATGATAAATCCGTCCACCATGACACGCAGAAAACATAACATCCATAAACTTTTACCACTTACAAGTTAATGAACTTTAAAGTAAGTAGTTTTAATGTTTCTACATAGATATAGTTCTAGGAAAACCTAGGGCTGCTAACTTCAAACACTAATTAGACTAAGCTACATAGTTATTAAAAGCGAAAATGTTTTGTACCAGCACAGGCGGAACCGCGATGAAAACTTGTTTTAAAACCATTTAGCTGAATATTATGAAAGTAGGGTAACCATCTTACTTTTGGTTGAAGTTCGTGGTCCTGAAAGTGGTCATAAAATTAAAGGAAATTCTTTTAGCAACTATTAAAATAGAAAAACGTGTTTTATCTACAATATTAAGAGAATAATGTAACATTTTCAATTAACCTTTATAATCCCTAATCCCTATCAATAATCAGTCTCCCCAATCAACGAATCCTCAACAATCCTCAAATTCCTAATCCCCAAAAGGCCGGTAACGCACTTGTAACGCCTTAGTGTTTCAGGTGTCCATGGGCTGCGCCGATTGCTTACCATCAGGTGAACATCCTGCTCGTTTACAGGACTATGCCATAAAAAATCTAAAACTCAAACTATTTGTACCTTTTATTAAATAAATAAATAAATAATAATAAAGTACGTTATATATTATACACACTAGCAATCCGCCCCGGCTTCGCACGGGTGCAATATTCATGTATTATACATATAAAACCATCCTTAAGAATCACTCTATCTATTAAAAAACCGCCTCAAAATCCGTTGCGTAGTTTTAAAGATCTAAGCATACATAGGGACAGACAGACGGCGGATAGCGACTTTGTTTTATGCTATGTAGTGATTTGCAAGTTAGATACTTTGTAGCATAAAAATCAAATTATCATCCATCCATCAACAGCCTATTAATGCCCACTGCTGAGCAAAGCCTCTTCTCACACGGAGAAGGTTAGAGCGTTAATCACCACGCTTGCTCAATGCGGGTTGGCGATTTCAAACTTATAATTAGAAATTATAAGTCCAGGTTTCCTCACGATGTTTTTCCTTCACCGTTTGTCAGTGGTGTCTAAATAATCTTAGAAAGTACATAGAACTCGGAAAAAGTCCCATTGGTACTTGCCGTTGGTAGGTTTCGAACCCGCACCCTCATGCATGAGAAGTGGGCGTCTTAAACCTCCGGGCCACCACGACCGCAAAATCAAATTATACCTCAAGTAAATTTTCACATAGGTAGAAAGAATGTGGAAGAACTTAGGAAGAATGTAGAAGCACTCATTACTGATCTTTAAAACACTCCTTTTTCTTACAC